GGCGAAGCCGGACCACGGAGCACGTGACCGACGGCGGCGGCGGGGCGCGCCTGCGCGTGCGTACTCCTGCGGGCCTACGAGGCCGCGGAGGCCGAGCTTCGCTGGCAGCGGTACCCTGTACCGACGGCGCTCGCCCAGCGGGTGCAGCTAGGGAACTCGGCACCGCTCTGACCAGTCACAGGTGGGTAGAATGCTGGCCCTGAGGGCTTTTGCCGAGTAGTTGACTGGGAGGCAGGTTTGTGTTTTAAACATCACTTGGCGGCATGAGCAAGTATCAGTTCATAAAGTCCATTCTGGTTTTTGGTAATACTGGAGAATTTAAGTACTGAACTTGACAACTTAAAAGCGCTGAACCAGTGGTACGATCGGGTTCTGCTCAAGGTGTTACGCCCATATCGTGGGGTCCCGCAAAAATCATGAGTCCGCACTCGTTTGTGAAAGCAAAGAACCTTTATTTAAGCAAGCTTAAGCTTGGACTCCCCAATGTAGCGGATGAGAGCAGAGCGCGCCAAGCCCAGTCGTGGTAGGGTTTTTATCATAGTAGAAGTTGGGGTGATTGGCAGACATTTGTCTAGGGGTCTTGACAAAAGGGAGGTGAGTCCTGGGCTCCGGGACATCTGGTGATCTTATCTAATGGTCGGAATATCAGGTACTTCTCTTTACACGCTGGCCCTCCCTGGGTGGTGTCAGCTTATGGCTTTTCCCTGAACCGGTGCTGCCTGCCTTGGCAGCTGTGCGGCCTGGGCCCCACAGATGGAAGGTGTAACTTGTGGGGGTGGGGTGGGCCGGAAGGAGAGTGGGTCCCAGAGCAGAATGATGAAGGAAGACACCACACGGTTAATGCCACAGGTTTCCCCCAGGAACAGACGAGGGGATGAAGTCCCCACTCCTGATCTGAAACTCCCTAGGCCCATTTTCATCAAATGCACAATGGAGATAAAAAAAAAAAAAGCCTAACCCAATGAGTTCTTAGAAACAAAGTTATTTTATTAGAATTTTAAACAGTTTAGGCAATGAGATCATTCTAACAGCAAATGCACTTTCTGCTTACAATTAAAACCTTTTTCAGTTCTGATGATGACATGAGCATCCAAGTTTCTTCCAACAGAAAAACCCACAGCTAAAAAACTATGGAGGAAATATGAGTAAGCCAAAGGACTTCACATGTTTACCACATAAGTGATACACATTAAAACACCACATAATACTTTCTTAAAAAGTCAAGCCACCTGTGATCCCATTAGCAAGCATCGAGATTGAAACAAACGGTTAGGCACAGGACCATCAATCAGGCACCATAAAACCCATGTCTTTCGCCTATTTTCTCACCTATAACAAATGAGATTCACTCTTGAGACAATTATTTGGATGCTTGCTTTTAAAAATAAGGTACTTAATGAATGATGGGAACAGTCTCCTATCATGGCGGTAACCTCAAGGAATGAAGATCAGCATTCTTATACATGATTACATTGACATGAAGTTCCTTACTTATACACTCTGATTCCTTAGGTCTAAACACATGTGAATCTATTTAGGGCTTTAGAGAGCCATGTGTGGGCTCAATAGTACAGTAATACAAGTTAATACTGAGACCTATGGTTTAACTCTTTGAATTCTTAACAAGTTATGAGGTAGCTACCATTATTTTCCCCATTTCTGAGGGTGAAACCAAGGCAGGAAGAAGTCATTTAACTTGCTCAAGGTCCTAAAATCAGTTACTGGTGTGAGTGGTGTGTGGGTCCCGAGTCCACAGTACACAAGTCTTCACTACTCTGCGGTGCTCCTCACTATAACACCTTGCACAATCACACTGTTGCGACAGTGCTACAGTGCACAGGAAAACAGCAGGAAACACCCAGTTTTGCTTGTCTTGTTTTTGTTTGTTTGTTTTTGAAACCAAGTCTCACTCCAGCCCAGACTGGCCCTGGCATCCTCTGAAGGCTATGATTATAGGCATGAGCCACCAAACCTGGCCCACTTTCCCATTTTTAAAAACCCATTATTTCCTGAAGTGTTATATACAGCTCACTAATCTATTTTTATCATTCAATAAAAGACTATTCCTAGCTGTCAATTTTACTGCCTTTATTTTATAATGTAGGAAATGCTATTTCTTGTGGACTTAAATCAGAAAAGGATTCCTGTGCACAATTTAGAGTAAAACCGGGGGGGTGGCACTCATCAGGTAAATGGTTGAACAAGGATGAGGACCTGAATTCAGGTCCCCAGCACCCACACAAACGCTGGGAGCTGAGGACTGTGTCACGTGGGCCAGCCAACCTAGCTAAACGCTCTCAATAAAGAGGGTTCTTATCAACCCCCACCCATCCCATACACAGATTACACAGACTGAATATCACACACACACACACTCACACATTTTAAAAAGACTTTAGGGAATCTATGGTCACAAATGCACGGAAAACACACAAATCCCTCCTGATATCCTTTTGTCTCCTCCCTGTTCTGTGGTACTAGATCCTCAAGCGAGCATTCTGCCACTAAGAAATATATTCACAGCTCCCTCTCAAAGCCAGCAGGCTTTGATTTACTACAATTTTAGGCAGGTTCTCATGTGGCGCAGGTTTTCCTCAAACTCGCTATGCATCTGAGGACGGCCTGGGACCTCTGACGCTCCTTCCTTTATGCAGTGCTGGGATGAGTGAGACCCAGGCCTTCAGTGTCCGCAGCTGTGCTGCTGTGCCTGTGTCCTCTGTTCCCTCCCTCCTGCAGTACCCACCACTTTTCTTCTCGCTTTTTCCTGGAGCACACAGCAGTACTTGTAGTAATTAAGCAGTAACTGACTACAAAATCAAACACACAAGTGGTCAGACCTGGTGGTTCACACGTTTAATCCCAGCAGCTAGGAGGCAGAGACAAGCAGATCTCTGTGAATTTGAAGCCAGTCTGGTCTATATAGCGAGACCCTGTCTCAAGGCAAAAACAAACAAAAATCCAAGTGTACTTACTATGCTCTATGAACACCTAATATAGAAAAACACTGGGATTTATAATCCTATCATAGATTCACGGAGCCTGTTTCTAGTGCATTTAAAAGACTAACTTAACAGACTTCAGTTTAGGATACAGTCAATGAAATAAGGCATCCACATTCATGTCTGCAAACCTTTAGGTAGGAAATCAGGGAGTGATTATGCTGGGAAAATGAGGCTATTTATAATAATTTCGGAAAAGACTTGGTGTATTTCACTATGTAAAATTTATTTTTTATAAAAAATGTGTAACACCAGCACCTACTTTTTAATCAACTAATTTAGGAACCCATTTTCTTATAGGATACCCATTGGCAATGAAACAGTTTAAAGAAATGTAATGGCTATCTACAGAAAAAAATTTACGTTTTGATTGTTACCCCATAGTTTGTGTCTGCACACAAAACTGAACATTTTCAACTTTACATTCAATTGTTAGAGTCAGTTTCCCACTGCTATAGTTTTTTTTTTTTTATAAAGAACTTTAGAGTTTTATATAAAGGAAAAGTTAAGGTACGAGGATAAAGCTATGTCTTATAAACAGTGTCAACTGGCATGCAGGCAACTGCCACATACCTGCATTTAGGGAAACATTACACCATTTACATAAAGTCCCACGTCACAGCAATACACTCAAAACAATGTTAAAAGACGAATGTTGAATGGCACACAACAACTGCTTCTTTATAAATTACTATCTGGAACTCCTGGTCATGACACAGGACAGGGAAATCCAGTCCTCAGGGCTTTGCTCTCTGGAAGAACACCTGTAAAACAGTGTTGAGACAGCACAATTGTCAGGCAGGACAGCTCTTTCAGGTCTTTGGATGCCAGTCCCCCCGGTAACAAACAACACTGCTATGAGCAACAGGATATTGGTTTTGGCAGCTTTTTATTTACTAGTAAAATTAACAGTGGAAAGTTAAGTTTAAGGAAGAAAAAAGTCAAAGATAAGACAGAAATCTTAAGCCTTGAAAGATTTCATATTCCTAAGACCTAGATGGCTGGGTTCACCTGACAACTAAGTGAGAGCAAGGGTGGGCATGGTAACTCACACCTAAGAGTCCCAAGAGTTGGGAAGCCAAAGCAAGAGACAGTGAATTCCAGGCTAGCCTGGGCTACATAAGAGAGATCCTGTCTCAAAATAAACCAAAACCAAGAAGTGCCAAGAACGACCCTGGATGAGCAGAAGGAAGCCTTCCAAGACTGTCTTAGCTTTACTGTCAAGAATGACATAGCCTTGGGCCCCAGCGAAGGAGTCTCAATTGAGGGACTTCCCACATCAATCTGGCCTCTGGGTCAGTGTCTTGACTGTTAATTAAAAGAGGCTGGACCAGCCAACTGTGGGCAACACCATTCCCTTAGTAGGTGGCCTTCTGTGTAAGAAAACTAGTTACTTTTAGCCTGTGATGAGCCAGCAAGCAGTGCTCTTAGGTGGTTGCAGCTTCAAGTTCCTGTCCCGAGCACGCTCATGAGGACTGTGACCTGTAAGCTGGGATGAACCTTTGGCCATGGTATCTGTCATGTCACCAGAATGGCCAGAACAGAGCATGGTAAAGGTAAGCCGAGAACAGCAAAGATGATTCTAACAAGAGAAATAGAAATGTGGTCTGACATCAGAATATGGAAACAACGGAAACCCCAGATAAGAAGCATGAACTTGTCTTAGTAAACAACATTTCCAGTAAGAACACTGGATGAAGGAATACCATCCTTCATACCAGAAGATGAACCAAAGTATACCAAGGGAAGGAATACTGAGATAGCAGCAGCCATCCAAAAGAGCAGGGAGGAATCAGTAAGGAAGAAGAGAATGCCAGCTCCGAGCTGACCGACCGTCAGACCCGTCATCCCCACAGGCATTTTCCTTTTCTCCTCCCAAAAAGAAAATTAAAAAAAAATTTCCCTTTATGCTGATAACTGACAAGGGACGATGTCAGAATCAAAAAGGATGGCAAATGCTTTTGACACACATTCTCTTTAGTTTAGCTTGTTAATTTTTTGATGTTAGAAATGGTACCCAGGGTCTTGTACATGGTAGGCAAGTGTTCCACCACTGACCTGTATCTCCAGCTCTCGATTTAAGAATTCTACTAACTTGAGCCAGGGAGCCACTCCCTTGTAACTTGTTAGCCAGAAATGTAGTATACAGGACTTTGCTACAAAGGAGAAACAGTTCTGGTTCTACAGACTGTGACTGAGCCCCTTGGGCAGGGAAAAGCCACCCGTGCTGGTACAGTCCAAGTATGAGAAAGGAATCTCCAAGCGCTGCTCTCTATTAGGCAGGGTCTCACTAGGTAGCAGAGGCTGACCATTGTTATCTTCCTGCCTCCATCTTCCAAGTACAGGGATTACTGGTATGCAGCACCAACTGAGGTGCTTAATTTTATTTATTTATTTGTAATATTTAATGCTTTTGTTGCTGGTCAAATCCAAGGGGTATCCCTTTTGTTTGCTATACATTGAAATGTTTCAAAATAAAATATAATTTATACAACGCTTTTGTATTTTTAGGTCCTTTCAACTTAATATGAAAAGGTCTTTTAAAATTTCTTGTTCTCTCCATCCTCTGGCGCCCACTTAATTACAGCATGAAAGTATAAGACAACAGGAAAACCCAAACTCTGGCATCTGCATACCAATATGTTCAGGCTGTTTAGACAATTAGTGCAAATATCTCATTTTAAATATCTTTTTTCAAACAGTTTAGCTCAAAGGAGTCACAAAAACTTCTGCAATTCCATCTTCTTAGGGCAAAGAGATGCCAAGGTGAGTGAGTTTGTCAGACTATGCACCCTCTAACGTCACCTCATTGAATAAAGACAGGGACATTCCCCAAATACCCACCTTTAGGTAATTTTTAAAAACTTTAGCATCAGGCTGCTGAAGTGCTTGACAGAACTCCTGGCGGAGGCAGGGAAAGAAAGGGAAGAGAAATAGGAAAATCTCTTTAATTCAAACTATGATATAAATCAATATGATATGATATAGTTCAATAAATTTTCTAGAGACCTATTTAATGCTACTTGCCTGCCTGAACGTTCTCTCATCCTCAAAAGCATTAAAATATTTCAGAATTGGAAAAGAAAGGAACTGTAAAGAACTTTGGTTTTTAAAAGGCTCTATTTGTTTTTATGTTTAAGAGCACTGGCTGCTCTTGTACAGGTCTCAGGTCAGCGCTCAGGGCTTGCATGAGTTTATGTGCACCACAAACCCTTAGAGGCTAAAAGAGGACACCAGAGCCCCTGGAACTGGACTTCCAGGTGGCTGTGAGCTGACCTGAGACCTGTACAAGAGTAGCCAGTGCTCTTAAGCCCTGAGCCGCATTTTAACAAAACTTGGTATCTTCCTAGATAACAACATAAGCAGCACTACTCAAAATACTCATAATTTCAAAATAGAGACACGTGCACAAATATTTCCTTCTTCCCCCATTTTGCAAGACAGGGTTTCTCTATGTCTTAGCTGTCCTGGAACTTGCTTTGTAGACTGGGCAGGCCTTGAACTCACATAGATCTGTCTGCCTCTGCCTCCCAAAGTGCTGGGATTAAGGTGTGCACTACTACTGCCCGGACCACAAATAATTATTTCTAAGTATTTTCAACCAATATGCCATGAAAATATGTGTGACATCAGGTTGGGGGGGATTCCTCAGCTGGGAAGCACCAGAGAGTGAACCTCAGAACCCAGTGGTGGCATGTCCCTCTAACCCAGCACTGCGGAGTGGCAACCGCGGGACACCTGGGCTGTGGACTTGTCACTCCAGCTCAGCTGTTGAGCCAGAGGCCCGGCAAAGATGCCTCAGGGGAGGTGGATGGTATTCCTGAGGATGGCACCTGAAGTTGTCTCCAGCCTCTGCACACATGTGCACACATGCACATACAAAACAGACAATGTTACTATTATTGTGGCCTGTCACTGAATGGTAGGAAGCTAAATTGTATTGGAGGTCAGTGAGAATGAAAACATAAAATTGTTCCCATTCAATTTCATAGATTACTTTAGGCTACTGACAGCAAAGTAAGTTAAATGCTAACTGGCGTTTTTGTTTATGGAGACAGGGTTTCTCTGTGTAACAGCCCTATCTGCCCTGGAACTTGCTCTTGTAGAAAGGAGTAGCCTCGAATTCACAGAGATCCACCTGCCTCTGCCCTGACTGCTGGGATTAAAGGCGTGTGCCACAACTGCCCGGCTGACTATCTGACTTTTTTAAATTAAAATTTAGATTTGAAGTATACACTCACATTTATTTAATAAAATTTCAAGTGAAATCCATTAGGAGAGCTCTTACCTGAATTATTTCTGGAGCGACTTGTAAGGAGGGCAGGTACTCTTGCTGAAGGTACTGCACACATTCAGGGCCCTGCAGATGAAAAGACAACTGGGCACTAGTAACATGAAGGGATTAGATCAGCACACCCACACAAAGGCAATACTGTATTAGGGAAAGAACACAGGCTCTAGATCAGAATTTCTTCATTTGAAACCTGGCTCATGCCAACTTTAACTGCTCTAAGTCTCCAGTTCTCCATCTGAAAAATTAAGTTACTAGATGGATTTGATGACCTATAAAAATATCTGTGCATATTATATACAAACAATATATTATGTAATACATAATATACAACAAAGATTGTGTCTACAGCCACAACCTTCTGAGCACTGAAGAACCACAGTAAAGGGCGATACTATCCATCTGCCAGAGAACAGAACACGGATCACGAGGGCAGGGGGGGGGGGGGGCGCTAAGGTGGTGCCAGGATAGTGATCATCTTGGCAGAAAAAAACTGACCTTCCAAACACAGTAAGGAAGAGGAACTTAGCAGTCAGGGGAGGGCAGGCAACCAGAGCTGAGACTAGGAGGGAAGGGGTCCAGGTTGTCTGAAGCCACTGCTGCCAGGTGACCGTTTCCTAGCACCCCACATGTGAACTCAGTGGAACAAGAGGACCCCGCCAATCTCTGGGTCCTACCCACTTCCAACTACAACCAAGGAATCCAGGAGACACTTTGAAAATTGATTCCCTCTAGTGATGTATTTCTGAGATTAAGCCATTAAAAAAAATTTGAACAAATCCAACACTTAGGAAAAGAAGCGCAGCTAATTTCCTGGCTTTGGATGACGTGTGTGACCACTTGGAGGCCAGAGGCTGGTGCTGGCGGTCTTCATACTCTGCTCTCTGCCTTATTTCTTGGACAGGGTTGCTCATTAAATCTGGAGTTGGCCAATTTGGGAGTAAACTCCAGGGGTGATCCACCTGTCTACATCTCCCACCCCAGCACTGAGATTACAGATGTGCATAGCCATGCCTGGCTATTTCGTGGGTGCCGCAGACCTAAACACAAGTCCTTACGCTTGCACAGCAAGCGCCCTATGGACTGCGCCATCTTCCCTGACCTGCATTTGGTAACTTTTAAGGGCTTTAGTAAATTGATGGTTCCAACCTGAAAGTAAATCACTAAACAAAACCAGTAGTCCACAGCTAGCCCTGGGGAGGCTGGTGTGCGAGGACTGATCCGAGTGTGATGCCAGCCTGGCTGCGGAGTGAGGCCACCCCTCTCCACTGTTCCTTTCATATGCCAGCACCAGATTCCTCTGCTTACTATTACCAGTCCTTAGTCCTCCTTTCCTGTCTGCTCCGACTCCTGGCCCTTGCCCCTCAGAGGAAACCTGCCTCACCTTCCGTCCGCGTCTCACCTTCCGTCAGTCTACCCATCTGCTTATTTCCAACGCACTGACTGCCATTCCCATACACCTATGCTGTTGTGTATGCACGCAAGACAGACAGAGACGGTGAGAGACAGCGAGAGACAGAGAGGGAGAGAAGGAGAGAGAAATAAATTAACTTCTTTTTAAAACACACAAAACAAGGGCATCTGGAAAAGTAGCTTGTACTCTAATATTCAAAACCAGAAGCAGGTGTCCGGGTATTGGTATGGGACATCAAAAGGAATTAGGCAGGAACCTGGAACTTCTGCGGGTCTGAGCGCACCCGAGCCTGGGACCTCCGAGGCAGTAGACCAGAGCCAGAAACCTTCCCAGGTCCAACTCCAACCCAGGGACTTCTGCAGGAGGGAATCCAGACCAGGATTTACAGACACAGCTCAAAGCCAGTAACCTAGGCTACATTTGCCCCAATGCAAGGAACTTCACCTTGGGCAACAAATTCCACAGGAGTGGAACTGAACGAGACACCAGGACAGAGAGCCTGAGGAAACAAGCTCCACCAGGAGCAGAAGCCAGGAGCAAATCCAGTCCTGGAAGCCAACCCAGTCCCCGGGCACTGCTAACCAGGATTGAGTCAGCGACCTGACTCAGAGTCAGCGATCTCCACCAGAACAGGTTCAACTCCAAGCCAGGGACTTCTGCAGGAGGGGATCCAGACGAGAATTTACAGAAACAGGGCAAAGCTGGCAACCTAGGCCAAAGTAGGCCTGAGACAGCAAACTGCAAGTGAGCAGAGCAAAGCACAGGAGCACTGAGCTATCTCCAGGAACAGGAGTAACCACAGGAGTAACTAGAACTGTGACACTGACTGTACCACGAGGAACAACCATCTGAGCTTTGGATTCACTGGCACCTAGAAGATTATTCAACAGAATCCCAGACAGCCTCAACCACACCTATTAGAGGAAAAGATGAGTAGAAAAGGTAAGATCACACGCTAGACCACAAAGAGCAACACACCAGTAAAACCTAAAGACCCTACAACAACAAGACCTGAACAACCAAATATGGAAGAACCAGAAGAAAATGACCTAAAAAATAACTTCAAGAGAATGTTTGAAATTCTTAAAGATGAAAAGAGAAATTCCCTTAAAAAAATTGAAGGAAAGACAAAGAATTGGAAGATATCAGCAAATCACTTAAAGAAAACCAAGAAAATAAAATCAAACATATAAAAGAAACTATTTAGGACTTGAAAACTGAAATAGAAACAATAAAGAAAACACATGCTGAAGGAATTATAGAAACAAATCATGAGAAAAAGATCAGGAACCACAAATGCAAGCATGAACAGCAGAATACAAGAAATGGAAGACAGAATCTCAAGCGCTGAAGATACAATAGAGGAAACAGACTCATCAGTTAAAGAAAACATTAAATCTAACAAAAGCTTAACCCAAAATATCCAGGAAAAATGGAACACCATGAAAAGACCAAATCTTAGAATAATAGGTATAGAAGAAGGAGAAGTTCAACTCAAAGGCACAGAAAATTTATTTAACAAAATCATAGAAGAAAACTTTCCCAACCTAAAGAAAGATATGCCTATGAAGATACAAGAAGCTTACAGAACACCAAATAGACTGAATCCAGAAAAGAAGTTCTCTCGCCATAAAACCAGGAAGCAGAACCAAGCAAAAGTGTTTGATTTAGGACTTTCACTCATTTGGATTGAAAGCACTGCTTCTCATCCCCTCGTCCTAACTCTCAAGCGCCCACCAACGTCATTGTCTCCCGTTATGACTCTCTGCCCTTACCTTTCACAACAGCCCAACTGTGAGTTCGACTCACAGGTAGCCCTCTCATTTTTAAGTTGTTTTTGATTATGTGTATGTGTGTTTTCAGTGACTGAATGAGTGTGTGTGTCTAGAGACACTGGATCCCTTGAGCTGGAGGTACAGGCCACTCAAGGGCCTTCCTACATGAGTGATGGGATGTGGTCCTCTGCAGGACAGCATGCACTCTGCCTGTTGAAGCTGCCTCTCTTTTTGGGTATTTCTTTGCTGCTGCTTTAGGCAAAGTTCTTTTGGTCCTGATCTTACAAATTCTGACAGACTAACGGTGAGGACGCGTTTAGTTCTAAGCATGTAGTATGCGCACTCCCAACAGTTTCCTGAACATCTCTCCTACCCAGCTACCCACTCCACAACCACCTGGCTGTTCAATTCAACAGCACAGCTTCTAACATCTCTCCCCACTGCACTTTTAAGCTACTGCTTCTGCCTGTATGCATAATTGGGAAGGGTTAAGTCCGACCTTCCACCAGATCCATCACGGACACCTGTTGTCCTCACACACCATGCTTTGTCCAGAAGTCAGTCCAACCAACACACATTCTGTCCTCCCTCTCCCTCCCTTTCTCCCTCCTCCCCAATTATGCTTTGTCCAGAAAGTCAGTTCAACTAACACACATCTGTCTTAAGGCCTAGACAAACTACACCTCTTTTCTATGGCTTGCTTACTGTTCAGCTAGGCAGTTTCAGTTCTATACTACTTTATATACCCATTAAAATGCCTATTTAAACTACTGAACGTTATTTATACATTGTTCTCCCTTGATTCTGAGCTCCATAAATAGCGGAAATTGTAGGTGTGTGTGTTTGTTTCCAAACTCTTTGGGGCCCGCACCCAGTTCCCAAATAAACACACAGAGACCTAGTCTTACTTATAAATGTCTGGCCTTAGCTTGGCTTGTTTCTACCCAGCTTTTCTTAAACTGTCCCATCTATCTTCTGTGTCTGAGCTTTTTACCTTTCTTCATTCTATATACTCTTCTTTCCTCCTTACTCTGTGACTGCTGTGTGGCTGGCCCCTGGCATCCTCCTCTCCTTCTCCCTCTCTCCCTAAAAACGGGCCACCCTTCTGCTTAGCCCCCATAAAGAACCCGTCACCACTTCTGCCACTCAGTCGTCGCTCAACCTCCTGACCCCAGGTTAATTTTATTTAATCAAATAAATGTACCACATCTTTTCATCGCTGACAAAAGCCAGAAACAACTTAACACACCTTTACACAGTTCAATAATATTCCGCAGCAGGGGACTCATCCTATGCCGTTTTCCTTGCCAACAGCAGTCCTCACCCTACCTAGGGCAGCACAGGTAGAGAGGACATGCGTGGTGGCGCATGCTGTGGGACTGAGAACTGCCAGCCTTCCACCAGAAGAAAAAGACTCAAGCTCAGAGAAACAAAGGTGCTGCTGTCTTGTTCTTTTACGGGGACAGGGAATGGGCTGCTCTGCAGCTAACTGCAGGAAATGCAGGGGTGCTGGGTCAAAGAAGTTGGAAATAGGAATTTTTGAAAAAGAAAAAAAAGTACTTATTTTTAAATGTTGGCAACTAATTCAAGTTATCTGAAAATACCTAAAGTCAGGTATGAGTTATACGTAAGATTAGACTGCCGAGAAAGAACTTGGTATTACAAGTAACGGAAGTCTCTAATCCTTTCTATCTGTAAACCAACATGTGAGAGGCTGAGGCGAAAGAATTGCTTGGGCTACAGTATTAAATCCTGTCTCAACAAACGGATAAAACAGTAAATTAGCAAATAAAAAATAAATCAATTAGCCAGGCGTGGTGGCGCACGCCTTTAATCCTAGCATGTGGGAGGTAGAGGCAGGAGGATTTCTGTGAGTTTAAGGCCAGTCTGATGTACAAATCGAGTTCCAGAACAGCCAGGATTGTTACACAGAGAAACCTCATCTTGAACCAAATACATACACATGTTCACATGTACATACATAGACACATACTTACACACATAAATACATTAAAGGCTAGAGTAATAACTCAGTTGGCTAAGCACTTTTATTACAAAAGTTGTAACTTTATTACAAAAAGCCCACGTGCTGAGGGATGCTTATAACTACTGTGCTAACGAGGCAGAAACCATGGTTCCCTGGAATGCCCTGCCAGCTTAGCCCAACAGCGAGCCCCAGGTCCAGAACACCTGAGGTCAACCACATGTGCCCTCCCCCACAGGCACCTCTGGCCTGCACATATACACACAGACCCAGAACAACCCACAAGTGCAGGCAGTCACGGTCACGGCGACTTCCACGCAGTCCCTCCCACAGCCACAGCAGTCAGTACTCACGTCGCCTTTCAGAAAACACAGCTTTCAAGCACGAGTCAGAGCCAACTGAAAGCAGAGCAAATACGGGGTAAACTGAGGGAAGGAGCAAGGACTGTAAGTCTTACCCGTTTGAGATGAATTGTTTTCAGAGTCACAGCACACTCAGAAAGCGCCTGCAAAAAACAAGCTTCAGATTTTAATATGGGCAGTTCTTCATTACAAACCCTCCCACCTCCAAGCTACTGCAAGGAAATACTGTACAACAGAAAGCAAAACACAAACCACTGGAGACTGCAGGGAGGACTTGGGGTAGGAGCACTGGCTGCTCTCCTGAGAACCAGCAGGGTTTGATTCTCAGCACCCACACGGTGGCTCACAACCACCTGTGACTCCAGTCCCAGGGGATCTGACTCCCTCTTCCGGCCTCTGGAGGCAGCAGGCATGCACATGGCATGTAGACAAACATGGAAGGAAACACCCACAGACAGGAAAAGAAAAAGAAAAAAACACAAAGTGCAGTCCTAACGTAGTATGGCTTTTAAAAAAACCATTGAGAAGTGAGAAAACAACTCTCACATGAAGTGCTCTGATAATGGGGTCTGGGACCTATCACACAAAAAGAAAATTGTTTATTAATACTCTTAATCACAGGGGAAGCCTCAGAGTAGGGCATGATGACACATGCACATAGTCCCAACACTCTGGAGGCAGAGGCATGAGGACTGGTTACATGTTTAAGGGCTGTCTGGTATACACAGTGAGATCCTGGCCAGCTATGGCTACACAGCAAAACCCTGTGCCCTGCCCCCCCCAAAAAAAAGTGAGGAGAAAGGAAAAGACAGAAAAACTGAAGAGGGAAGGAGAGTGAGAAAGACAAAGAAAAGGGGGGAACGACTGACCAAATGTGTGACATCCTTGTTCTGTCTCCAGAACAAATAACTCGATGAATCCTAATATGAAGTCATTGTGTATATATAAAAACAATCCAGAAAGAGACATGCGGTGGTGGTGCACGCCTTTAATCCCAGCACTCAGGAGGCAGAGACAGGTATTATCACTGTGAGTTTGAGGCCAGCCTGGTGAAGAGTGAATTCCAGGACAGGCTCCAAAGCTACAGAGAAACCCTGTCTTGAAAAACCACATTAAAAAAAAAAAAAGAAGAAAAAAAAATCTATGAAGCAAAAATCAACCTGTCATTAGAGAAGCTTCTACAAGATCTGCTCATGGTAGACAGACTTAGGTGCTTACCAACACGGTCTGTGCATCAGCCAGGTCAAAGGTCTGCTTTAAAGGGGCCAGGAAACATGCAGGGACAATGTGTTTATAAACAAAATCAGCAAATCCCACTGGTCCATCTTTGCCTCCTGCCAAGAGAATCCAAATTTTCATCTTGTTTAAAAAGAAAGTCAGTCAGTCCACCTAAGGGAAAAGAGGCCTTGGATTTGAGTCCTAGTACTGGGGGTAGAGGGAGGTCAGGATAAAATCTCAACCAAATGAAAACAAAACTCCATCTCACCCCAGAGCTCCACCAGCTTTGAGAGAATGATAAAACACGTTTTCTGTGCGATCGGATCTGGATACTCAACGGCTCCTTGGATAACAGTAACCAGCACCCGCTCTACATTCTCCGCACCTGAAAAAAAGAGACTTTAATTGCAAAAGAAAAAACCTGAAGTACACATTTCAAAACATACACTACATCAAAACACATTTACAGCACTGATAAAATTTCTTCAACCTCTTGCCCTCCCCGGCTGGTGGACTGTTTAGGAAGGGGTGCCACTGGTTGGGTTGAGGCTCCCAAAGCCCATGGCACTCTCAGTCAGCTCTCTGCCTTGTGCCCTCCAGCACCGTGCCCGCCTGCTGTCTTCCCCTGCCATGACTGCCGTGGACTTACCCTTCGAAACTGTAAGCAACAATAAGGCCTTCCTTTATTTCTAAGCTGTCTTTGCACGGTGTCTGATCACAGCAATAGAGCAGTGAAGACCCTCACTGTGCCCAGGTTCCCCCGAGACTATGCAGTCAGGAAGGCTTTGCACTTCCCTGCCTGCCTCAGTCCCCAGATAAGTGCAATAACAACCACTATGGTTGGCCAGTTCTACTTTCAATTATAAGATGGCAAACTGGCCAGGAAGAGTCAACTGTCAGGCAATTCTGCTACATGCTCACCACACTGCTCACTAGCAATTCAAGAGAAACTGAATATAAACTAATTTTAAGGTGCTTTATATGCATATAACTCATTTCTATTCTTGAAGTACTGGACAATCTTAGGACCACCAGACCACACCTGCACAGTTTGGTGTTTACTTCCACTCACGATGACCACAGGGATGACCACAGGGCGTGCAACTGTGACAGGGACTTCAGCAGACACATGAGGCGTGGCGTGCATCCCTACCTTGATTGGCGATCACTTCGCTCATTCCGCTGCCAGTGACTGTTTGCAGGAAGGCGAAGTAACTCCTCCTCAGCATCTGCTTCTCCAGCGCGGCTGACTGGTCATTGTCTTCTGCTGGTCGCAGCAGCACTTCAAAAATGGCATGAAGCAGGGGCATGAACATCTGCTGTAAAAATGGGGATACCTGAATCTGGAAAAAAGAACATCTGTTACTGCACCCCAGAAGTGAGGAAGGAGAGTACCGCGAGGCTTCAGAAAGAAGTGTGTTAAAGAGCTCTTGCCATGCTCTCTAGGGAGGATATTTGCAACTCAGCAAATTTAAAACAAATACACTACCCAAGGACTCAAGATTAAATTCAACATGCATGGGGCTGGAGAGATGGCCCAGGGGTTAAGAGCACTGGCTGTTCTTCTAGAGGACCTGGATTTTATTCCCAGCATCCATATGGCAATGCAGCCATCAGTAACTTCTGTTCAAGGAATCTGATGTCCTCTTCTGGATTCTCCAGGCAATGCATGCACATGGCACACAGCATGTGTCCCGGCCACACACCATACACATAAAAGTCAATCTTAACAAGTTCAACTTGCTGGGCGGTGGTGGCACGTCTTTAATTCCAGCACTTGGGAGGCAGAGGCAAGTGGATCTCTGAGTTCGAGGCCAGCTTGGTCTATTATAGAGCTAGTTCCAGGACAGGCTACAAAGCTAACACAGAGAAACCCTGTCTCCAAAAACCAAAAAAGTTCAACTTGTATCTTAGAATTTTGGTTGTAGGTCAGCAAGATGGTTCAGTAGGTAAAGTTACTTATTGTGCAAGCCTGGCGACCTGAGTCCAGGCCCCGGAAACCATGAAAAGATGGGAAAAAAACTGACTCCACACCGCTGTGCTCTGACCTCCATGCTTTGGCATGCGTGTGCATCCATGAAAAATGAAATAAAAATTGAAATGAAATAACAAGTGATCATGATCAAAGTTGGCCAATAAATATTTTAAGATTTAAGTTTCTAAGGGAAAAAAATTCTAAGAAAAAAATTCAAAGCCTTAATTTTGTAATTAGTTTTAACATATGTGATTTCCATTAGTTAAGTTCCTTAACCTATCTAGGCCCTAGCTTCCTCCTCTATAAGGCAGAATTTTTACCATATAAGAATACATAAAATGAGGACTATAAAGCAACATCCAAAATCATTCAGGGCAGAGTTTGAACTCAGAAAGCCTTGTGCAAGTGATGGCCTTTCTCCCTAACCAGTTCATGTCTATTTTAATTCCTTGGATTACTTCTAGACTCTTTCTTGATCCAGTGCCACGTGTTCACAGCCAGAACTCAGCACCAGGTTCACCTGCTTTTCCTGCTTTTTCTCCCACTACAGTGATTAATGTTTTTATTAAAACATCTACTTGGGGGCCGTAGAGGTGGCTTACTGATTAAGCCATCTTGCTGCTTTTACAAAGAACCTAGGTCCTTTTTCCAGCACCCATATGGAGGCGTGCTAACTCCATGTTCTGTACCTCCAATTCCAGATGATCCGCTGTCTTCTGATCCTTTAAACACCAGTCATGAACATGGTGCACTTAGGTGCATGCAGGTAACATACTCACACACACAAAAGAATTACTGTTTTCAACTTAGAAATCTCCCTCGCCTTACCTGTGGGGCAGACAGCAGACTATTCAGAATGTTAGACACTCCATGACCCAAGTAACCAGGTAACTCAGGGTCATTTACAAGGCAAAGGTGGGGCTGAGGGGTCTTGCCCTGCAAAGAACTTCCTACACACAGTTGAGGGACCTGAGTCGGAATTCCCAGTCTCCTGTAATAAGAAGCTGGGAATGGCTGTGTGCACCCGAAAATGGAGGCGGACCACCAGGGCCTACTGGACAGCCAGGCAACCCTATCAATGAAGTCCAAGCTCCAGGCTTAATGACAGACCGTGTATTAACAAATGCTGTGGAATGTGGTGGAGGCCAACCCCACCCCCACCACACACAGGAAAAGGCATCTGAGATGTGCACGTCTACTCTCAGGGCTGCGGTACCTTGAACTTGGCCGTGATCTGGTTGATGAGGGGAATGAATTCCTGGAGGTCTTTTGCTTCACAATCTTTGAGCATGTGCTCTGAGGCAGACGGGATGAACGGAAGAACCTCCTCCTCCAGGCAAATGATCATGCGATGAAGGAAAGTGCGAACCCCACTCCTCAGAGTGTCCTTCTGCACAGGGCAGCTGAGGGCCGGCAGGAAGGTCTGTAAGCAGTCCAGGTAAACCTCGGAGCAGCCGCACTGCTTCACGGTCTGCTTGTTGCTGAACGCCTTGCTGGTTCGACTGCGTGACCAGAACCCAGATAGTCAAGTTTAGTTTTGTTCTTTAAAGTTCAGAGTATTAAAAATACAATACACAACAGATGGCAAATTGTCAGCAAACACTAAGGCATCCATTATTTCCTACATCAGTATTAACCTCCCTCCTTAGCTAATGGCTATGGGAAAATGATGCTTCCAGGTGTCATCACAGAACAAACGTGAAGTAAATTAAATAAGTAAGAAGTAGTTAGCACAATCTGAGTCTATCTGCTTCTCTAAAATCCTGATAGTCTTCAGGAAAAAAATGTATTTACTATGACTAAGTCATTAGGTAATCTATATGCAGTACTCACTAAATTTAGGAACCAACCTAATCCCTCCTATTCACGGTCAGGTGATTCCTACCACCCGAGGCCTGTCTCCTGCACTGAAGTATATGGCGTAGAACAACTCTGCAGTGTAACTTTATTAGCAATCATTTCAATTTTCACGCTGCTAATAAACAATGCAGGAAAGAAGTAAATGGCTACTTGGTGGTCTTTGGGGCACAGTCTCAGGACCTTCTCTTGAGGGGACCAATACTAAACCACAATGTCTTGATATGCTATTTTACACAGACACTTGGGCTAACCTGAAAGACAAGACTGATTTACACTGAAGTCAGAAGCGGGAGTGCTAGTGATAGCAGTCTTCATGGTAAACTCACAGCTAGCAAATTACCTATCCTCTTTGTTAGCTACAGCTTAACTTACTGGAGAGACAAGGGTTTAGACAACCAGAGGAATTCAGCTTCAAAAACAGTTAAGTGTGTCCATGCTAAAAAGATCCACAGCAGAGGCTCTGCCTATGCAGACACACATTTTTTAATTTTACTTGCGTTTGTGCTCACCTGGCAAATCCCACTGCGTGGCTGAGACTATCTGCAAGAGATGCTTGCCTCTCTTCGTCTTGCGCCATCATCAGCTTTTCCAACAGAACCTTGAACCTCTCCATCAGCGGCGTCAGGAGGTCCTTCATTAAGGCCCGCTTGTTCTCTGCTGGGTAATCACTGCTAACAATCAGTGCGCCCGCGGCTTCGTAGATGAAGAGCTGGTCGTCACTGCTCAGCAAGGCCTGGTAACCATTCTCCTGGAAGGGAATTTTGTCTTATCTGCATGTTTATTTACATTTTAGTGCCTCTCATTTAACTTAATAAAGAATAAGCACAAGAGAGATAGGAAATATAACCTACCACATTGGCTCATATACCAAGCATTCATAAAAACAGATGGTGGAGGCACACGCCTTTAATCCCAGGGCAGGGGAGGCAGAGCAGGAGGACCTCAAGGTCAGCCTGCTCTACAAAGTGAGTTCCAGGACAGCCAGGGCTTGTTACACAGAAAAGCCTTGTTTCAAAAAAAATGTGTGTACACACACACACACACACACACACACACCCCTCCCAAAACAAAATACACATGCATATCAAAATGTACTTATGAACTATTTCAACTTAAATCCTTTTAGTGAAGCAACACTGACTTTGGTCTGAGACGAGAACTTCAGCGTTAATGGCCCTGACGATGACAAGTACAATAGCATCAGACCAATCTACTAGGTGATTTTCTTCTCTTCCATTAAATTTCAGCTACATTTAACAGTACAGAGAAATCAGAACATACTCCACACTGTAAATTCCTTCTATTACTGAGAAGCTTGTCATCAAAACAATCTTGGTGAACAGATCCAAATAAACTGTGCACACGCACCTCCCCCCACTAGTTAAAAACAAGTGGGGCCCGAGAGGGCAAAGCTGATCTGATGGCATAGGCAGGAAGATATCCAGAAGATACTTACAGGCGGAGAAAGGGTTAATAAGTCTTGTATTCTATTCAAAATATCCTCAATGAAAGGGTTCATTTGTTTACTGAATGAAATCAAGAAGAAAACAAGGTAAGTAATGTGCTCACGAGCTGCTAAAATATCAACCCTCCTTTTAAAAGAGAAGGGACCAAGGCTCAGTTTTATGTTAGCCAATCTGATTACTAAAATTAGCATATGAGCAATTTAAAAAGTTCACTGGCTCTGTAGTGATGTATTGCCAAGAGAATACCCGCTTAAGTACTTTTCACATAAAAAGAAAAGGTACTACAGATAGCAGATTAGGTTAAAAATGTACATGCAAGATGGGCATCATGTTGCAAGCCTATATTCCCAGTAATTGGGAGGTAAACAGAGACAATGGACCAAGCAAATAACAAAAACTATGTACGCTAGCCTAGGAGATGGCACAGCAATTAAATGCATCTGCCTTTAATTGACGGCTTGAGTGTGATACCTTGATCCCATAGTGGGAAGGCTGTATCCCAAATACATCAGACACACACTCAATAATAATGCATAGAATCTATAAAACAATATACTAATACATACAGTCGCATAAAAATATGCAAACAACACTGACTACAGTAACTGGTCAATCCGCAGGGAAAGAAGCCCGTGCAGGAGGAGCCACTTCTACCCCCAGCGACCCCCATGTGCACACTCCACAACAGCGCTGAAAGCCAATACTTACTTGAGAGATTTGACAAATCTAGAAAACAGGTAGGCAGTTCTGCTCCGGACTTTAGCGCTGGAATGCCACAGACCCCTGTGGTCTAAGAAAGCCATCTGAAGAAAGAGACAATGATCGTTTCTGTTCTGATTCAAGAATTTCATTGTCAATACTGCTCACACCAAACTGTAGTTGTGGGCAGGGCCAGGAATACAGAAGGAATGGCACATTACACACAGCTCCCAAGCACATGATTTACATAAAACTGTCACCCGACGTTAGATCAAACTTCTGACTCTGAGGAAAGTTAGAGAACAAGGACAGGGCATGATCTCATCATCAAAGACCAAGAGAGATGCACACTTACTAGTACACACGGAATGTGCTGAGGTTCAACAGTGAAAAACTTCTCGTATCGAACAACAGTTTCAAAGAATTCCAGAGTCACGGACGTGTGCTGATAGGAGCTGACACCTGATGTCACCAACTAGAACGGGGAAAATGAGGAGACCCGTTTTTGTTTACTGTAACATCCCTAATTCCCTCTGTAAACATACACCAAGCTCTAACGATTAAGAACCCTGTGAGCCCACAGCACATCATACAGAGCACATCAGGTCACAGCAAAGGACCTTTGGTGTGCCTACAATTAAGAAACCCGTGAGCCCACAGCACAACATACAGAGCACATCATGTCACAGTAAAAAGGACCCTTGGTGTACCTACCGTTCGCATCATGTCCTGCAAAGCACTAGCTTTTGAAACGTCACCTGAGAAGTGAGCACCATGGGACACTGGGAGAGCTTCCGCCAGCATGTACAGCAGCCTTACTGCCACTTCAACCTCCATGAAGCGTGTAGTCTGCCAATTCCTACCAAGGCATAGAAGTATGTCTGTGACATCTGACATAAACTTTAGATAACTCCTGATACTCAGGACAGGAACAACCACCAGAACCCTTTCAGGGGCACAGCCACTGGTGAGCTGCCCTCTCCTGTAACCAGCCCTAATGAAACCCACTGGCTACCAACAGAGGGAAGAGGACAAGAGGAAGAAACATTGTGTGTGTGTGTGGGAAGATGGCTGAAGTACACTGACTGCGTCGATGGCAGTTTCATAATACGAAACGGACGTGCTAATAAAAACCTTTCTTAGAAATGTCCTGAATGAGTTAAAAAGTAATGTAATTTATGCCAGAGGTAGACACAAGTAAACTATGGAGCAAAACCAACTGCAGGGATGGAGGGCGTGATGGACGCTGCGCGACTCATCCGCTACACACCACCTCGCACGAGAGGAGCTCACTCTGACCGCAGAACTTACTGCAGTGTGGCACTCAACACTCTGCGAACGGAAGCCAGCACTAGCTCCGGGGACACCTGAGCGAGCCTGTCCAACAGCAACTTCAGCTGTTTTCTGTACTCTACAAACATGGCTTCATCTTCACCCTACAACACAAGTTAAAGGCTTGGTTTTAATGGTTTAAGGTGCAGCATTAAGATGGCGCAGGTTAGGAGCACTTGATGCCAGAGCTGACAGCTGCTCTCCTTACCTGCAGCCAGGAGAGGGAGGAGGAACCAACCAAGGCAGTCCTCTGACCTCCAATGCAACACCCTGGCCCACCCTCATGATAACGACCAATAAATTTATATAAACGATCAGTTAACTCCTATCTTTTATCTTTGGATAGAAAAACCACAAATGCTCAGTAGCATTTCCCTTCCTGCTCACTGACTAGCAATTCTAACAACCTTAGCCATTAAAGGCTTGGGTCACACCCAGTCTAAGGAGGGGGACAGCCAGCATGTGCCTTACTAACGTGCTAACAGTGTGCTGGCTATCATCTGTTACCCTTCAACAGCACACACCGCAACGCACGCCCCAGTGTCCAGGAAGCACTGGGAAGCAATCTTCTCGTGACTCTGGACAGAATTTTAGATGAGCAAGTCCGGTTAAGTTTCACTCTCACCCTCTCCACAGACTGGGCCTCAACCCAGCACTCCTAGTAAATGCACCGTGAGAGAAGATCATCAATACCAATAATATGTCAGTTGTAAGTTCAATGTTAATAAGTATTATTTTTCTTTCCTTGGGTTGCTATAGATATAATCTAGGGCCTGCATGCAGCAAGCAAAGGCTCTCTCACTGAGCTATATCCCAGGTCCTGCAATTTTTTTTAAAGGTTCTTTTCTGTTTCTTTTGAGACAAGATCTCACTTTGTAACCCAGTATGTAGCCCAGGCTGGCTCAACAGTTATGGCAATCTTCTTGCCTAAGACTGCCAACTGCTGCGATTTCAGGCATATGCCACCAAGCCCAGTTTACAAGATTCTGCATGTATGAGTGCATATGAGCATAGGAGCGCGCGCGCGCGCGTGTGTATACACACAAACAAAAGGTCAATCTCAGGTATTGCCTTCAGGAGCTAGTCATCTTTTGTGCATGTGAGACACGTTCCCTCATTAAGACATGAGACTGAATGGTTAGGCAAGGCTGGCTGGCAAATGCACTCCAGGGATTTCCCCAATGTCTACTTTCCCACCTTCCCAGCTCTGAATTACAAGCAGGCACTACCAAATCCAGCTGTCTACAGCCATCAATCCTAATGTTAATAATGCTTACACAGCAAGCACTTGACCAAATCAGTCACCTCTCCAACCCCTTACAGTGAAGGATTCACGTCTCCATGAGTGGTACCCCAAACTGACATTAATATATATCAGTAAAAGCATGATTTAAAACACTATTTCTCGTTTTAAAAGGCTCTGAAACTAAAATATAAAATACTAATTTAATGCAAACACACAATAAAATTAAAACCAGTTCTTTGATGTAAAATTACTTACTTCATTTTCAAAATTATATTCTTCATCATAAGTCAATTTTTTCATAACGGCCAACATGATTGCCTAAAATTAAAAATGAAACATTTGTTAATTGTTCTTTTTAATCCAGAAGTTGAGCTACATTTCAAGGTAGACTTCAGACAAAGAATTGATCATGTCAGTGCTGGAGAGATGGCTCAGCAGTTAAATAGCACTGACTTGCTCTTCCAGAGGACCTGGGTTCAAATCCCAGCACTCTCATGGCAGCTCACAACTGTCTGTAATTATAAGATCTGACATCCTCACACAGACATATACATGTGGGCAAAACACCAATGCACATAAAATAATAAAAATAAGCTTAAAAAAAGAATTGATCAGATTGATCTGCTTTAGATGGGCATCTATACCACTCACTCCAAGGCTCAGGGAATCTCATGAGGTGGTAGGATGGCAGGGGTGGAGCGCTGGGCACAAACATGAGTTAAAACAGTCCCTCATAGAGGAAGGCTACCCGAGACTCAGGAAACAAATCACAAGTCCCTAAAACTCAACAGATTCACTAAGGCCCGCCCCCAGGGCTATACACTCATGAAGGACTGCTGGGGAAAGATTCTCCAGCACACTGCGCAGGAGTTACCACCCAAGGCTGGGTGGGCTCTCAAGGGTGCAGCTCCTTGAAGCCGTCTCTGCTCAGCTAAGAAACCCCCTCACCCACAGTCCGGTGAAGAACCCCAATAAACTCACTGATTTGGGGGAAGAAAAATCTACCATTGGTTTAAAGAAACCACTTACCTCTATGTTAGCTTTTTGCTGATCTGAGAGCACTGAAAGCTTAAAACAAAAATAAACAATAATTTATTTTTAATAATATACTTGCTTATCAATTTTTTTTCTAAGCAATCAGTATCTTCTAAAACAACACACAAAGAAGCTGGTGGTACAATTACAGGATAGAGATTTTCCCAGCATCCCTGGGTCTAATCTCCAGCATAAAAAAATAAAATACACAAATTCTTGCTGAGTAGTTTGACAGCAATTAGTCAATTCCTAACTTCAGATGTAATAATTTCATGTCTAGTAAATAACTTGACAAACAGGCAATAACAAGATTAATTTGATTAAATTGTTTATCCTATATTTAGAAAAAATTAAGCTATAAGGCAGTAAAGGATGTTTTTGCTGTTTTGAGAACAGGGGCGCGGTATGTAGCTATGATTAGTCTGGAACTCACTATACAGACCAGGCTGGCCTCAAACTCAGAGATTTGCCTCTGACCCACCAACAACTGAGATTAAAGACATGCTTGACCATGCTTAGTTTCTTAAAACAAAGATCATAGCTCCTGCAATCCTAAAAACCCTTCTGCATGCAAAATTACATTTCTAAGAATGAAGAAAGTCTGGGTATAATTAAATATTATTGGTACAAACTAATACAAACAGGAATGGTCTTTCATTTAATGTCAAATTGAGAAGCAACTAGTCTTCAAAACACTGCACACCGCACTAAGGGAACCTTCACCGTCACACTTTGTGTTCTTACTGGGACGCAGCTGTCAGCAAAGAGTTTAACAAGTTGTTGCCGTGTTTAGAAACACAGGTTTAAAGGACCACACAGGAAGAGTAACCCTAGACCACATTTATGCCTCATGAATGTATTGTATCTTCTGAGGCCAGGGCCTCAGGTTGCTCATGGCTAGTCTTGAACTTGCTATGACGCAGATGATGACCTGAACCCTTTACCATTCTATGTGCTGGGATCATAAGTGTGGCTCACCAAGTCCAGGCTAGTGTATTTCAGAACTTATTAACATTTTGTCTATATATTTTTTTAAGTAAAAAATAAAAAATAAAAACTACAAAGAAGAAAGCCAGTAAATAAGTAACAATGTATCTATCCATCTCTCTATCCATCCATCCATCCATCATCTATCCATCAAGGACTATGAGATTGTTTTCTTTTTCTTTTTCTTATTATTTTTTATCTTTTTATTTTTCTTATTCTCCATTTTTAACAGCTCTTTAGATATCTACTAGACAAAAAGAACACAATGACTCACCTGTTTTAAAATATGCAGATAATCATAACAAAATCCAATAATGTTGGAGGAAATATCATCATCCTCATGAACTAGCAGCTGTAACATAAGTGGAACTTTTGTCTCAATAGCTTCAAGTGCCTCTTGAGCATTCTTGACAGCCCCATTCTTAATTAACTTAGTCCAGCTAACTATTAAGGACTGTCCCATTCCATTTACCAGCTTAGAAAACCTGGCCACGAAGTCCAAATCTTCTTCCTATGAGCAGTAAGCAAAGACCACAATTACAACCACCTACCTCGAGGAAGAGGAAAGCCTTGAACTTTAGCAGAATGTAGTGCCAATTACAGGACTCAATCTTAAAAAAAAAATTACTATGTAATTGGCTATGACACGGAAGGGTTAGTGTGGGCGTGTATGTGCCATTTTCAGGAGCCAGTCTTCTCCTTCCACCAGGGGTTTCAGGAATGAAACTCCAGTCTTAAGGACCTCAAGGTAAGGGATTTTACCTGCTGAGGTTTTGCTGGCCCAGGCTCAGTGTTAAGACAACAGCTGTCAACTCTGTCATTACGATAGGAAAATTATCAGAATGTGAATTTTTCTGCTACCATTATTAGCCAATAGTACTCTGAAAGCAACTATGTTTTGTTTTTTGATTAAAGAAATATTTTTTATGTTTGGTGTTTTGCACATGTATCTGTGCTACATGTGTGCCTGGTGCTCAGAGGCCAGAAGAGGGCACTGGAGTCCAGGAACTGTAGTTACAGACTCTGGAAAAGCAGCCAGTGTTCTCAACCACTGAGGCATTTCTCCATTCCTACAACTGTTATTCTATTGATGATAGTCCTGTGGATATTACCAAAAAAGGGAGGGAGAAAGGGAAGGAGGGAGGGAGGGAGAAAAACAAAATGACCTTAAGTAAAAGAGAAGTCTCGAGCCGCCTTTCCTAACTGCTCAGCGCGGCAGGCGCCGTTCTGTGACATCAGTGCTGCTGCACTGCACGTGCAAGGGCTGATAACAGTCCTTTCCAGAACTGTCTGACTTCGGCCCCTATAGCCCTACAAAGACACAGGCTGCCGTGAGAGCGGCCTGCTTGAGTCACTGCCGATGCTATAGGCTTCCCGATTATTAGTTATCCATGCGCTCCTCTCCCACAGACAAAGGCTCGACTTTCACTATTTTAGATTTCCTCTTCTTAAAAGACCCAGACACTAAGTTAGGCGGTAGAAGGTAACCGAACCTTTGGTGCACGAAGAAGGAATCTACAAGAACCATATTACTGACATCACCAATACAAGACCTCTTAGGGCCAGGCAGGACTGCCACCAGGCCTTACAACCCAAGGTCCATCCTCGGACCCACCTGGTAGGAGAGGGAAACTGTCCTCTGTGCTCCCTCCCCATGTGCACGCTGGCACTGGAGCACACACAGCCGTAGCTAACTCTGAAGTGCTGTCACGGGCTCGGCGGGGCTCGGTGACAGTGCTAGTAGGCTTTGGCTCGATATCTAACACACACACACACGAGAACAAAAAGCCTTCGTATCACCTAAGTGACTAATCCACCACACTGAGATCCATCAGTCTCAAGGCTGTCTGCTCTTCCAGAGGACCTGCACCCACATGGCAGCCTAAAACCACCTTAACTCCAGTCCCAGAGGCTCAGATCCCCTCTTCTGGCGGCCTTGGGCCCCAGGCACACAAATGCAAGCACAGGCACGCAGACAAAACACACATACACATAAAATAAAATGTGAAAAATTACATTAAAATTCAAGTCTATGATGAAAATGAAACTTTTATGGTTACTAGGGCTAACCTGGGTCAAAGGGTCAAATGTACTGTAATGTAAATGGTGTATTTGTTACTCAGGGCATGATCAACACTGTAAACTTGCAAAGTGCACACACCACTCTGACCGTAAAGTATCAGAATGGGTGTAACCAAATGTGCAAAGAAAATGCCACAGATACTAGTTGGGGTGTTGGGGAATAGTGTTCTCAGGTGTGTGACTTTGGTTTATGCTCCATTTGTTTAACTCTATGTAACGTCTAAAACACCTGATGGTCCTAATCAAGAGATGAACAGTTGGTACCGTGGCAGAAGCAAGGATAGGTAGGGCTGGCAGGCAGAGTGTATAAATAATAGGAGAAAGGAGGAAGAAGAGGAGCACATCAGGAGCCAGCAACCCAGCCAGCCACGGAGTAAGAAGGAAAATAAGATGTATAGAAATAAAGAGAAAGTCCAGAGACAAAAGGTAGCAGGGATAGTGGAGACAAGGAAAGCTGACAAGAAATTAGCAGGACAAGGCTGGGCATTTGTAACTAATAAACCTCCGAGTGTGATTTATTTAGGAGTTTGGTGATGGGCCCCTCCAAAAAGTCAAAAGAGTAAAAACATCACATAATATTGGCACTCTCAGAATATAATGGTTTACTATTAGTTCAAGGGCATCCCCCAAACTTCGGGGGAAGAGATCCACTGACCTGGTCAATGCTGAAAAACCCGGCAGTCTGCAACACTTGACACAAGGACTCTACCAGCTTCATCTTCTCCACAGGGTCCATCCCTTTATTCACGATTTCAAATAAACAGTCGCATGCCTCCTCCCGTAGAACTTCTACTGACATGTGACTTAGCAGCATATTTATAAACCTAGTGATGGGGAAATAAAGATTTTAACATTTTCAGCTCACAAGTTTTAGACACCAACTCTCCAATTTTTAGTTTAGGAATTATAGGTGTGCTCACCTATCATTGGCTATGAGGGATAAGTCTATCCAAGAGACGTAAGCCCCAACTACTTCAAGGCACTGGCACAGCACTTCTGAATTGGTATACTGGTAATTGTGTAGAATCTGGTACCACGACTCCACCAGATTTGGAATGCACTGTTCTCGCATGGTATCTTTTATCAGAGTATTCCTGCGAGCCTCCTAAAAACAGAACACAAGAGACAAGGAAGAGTATGAACCAGAGCTAGACGTTCAAGTTCAGCTGCACACAGTCATTTCCTCGTTAAATGGTCCTGACCATGGCTTCCTATTTATCTGCTCTAAAATTACATCCTGTGATTCTTTGTGTTTCCTTTTTCCGTTCTATTCCTTGGTGCCAGACTTAATTCATTAAGTACAAAGTATAAATAAGCATTGCTTAGAAATCTTAAGCAATGTGAAATTATCTCTAAAAGTGATACTTAAGCATTTAGAAAAAACAACAGTGACTTAAATGTACAGTAGTTATAGTTTTAAAATATCATAAACATTTAAAGCTATTTCCAGAGGTGTTTCTGTTGTGTGTGTCTGTGTGTGTGTTTTTAATGAGACAGAGTTCTCAATAAGTAACTCAGGATGGCTTTAAACTTGAGGCCTCCCACCCCCGTTTCCAAGCGCTAGAGACAGCCAGTTAACTTCCCACTCTTTACTAAGCACTTCTACACTGAAGTGGTAGAGAGCAAACCTCCTGCACCCCATACACCAGTGCTTCCTAGTACTTTAGGATAAGGCTCGATTAAGGCTGTACCTCGGCTATAAAGACTGCTTGTCAGTGATGAAACACTACAGTACATTACTAGCACTATTTAACAACAAACAAAGGCAAAGGAGAAAGAAGTCTAGATGCATAAAGACTCAGATGGAGGGCTTGGGCGCCATGCCTGCGTGGCCAGACACGTACACTCACAAGCCTTTACACCTGTTCAGAAGCATTCGGAATGGATGACATTTCACAGGAACTATGAGAAAACAAACACCTATTTCACTGGTGACAACAGTGGCTTAGTTTTAAACATAATGTAATGCTCTAATTTTGGTGGTGGGAGGGGTTAAATTTCATTGTCAGCAAACTCAAGATGTGAGGTACACTTGTAATTTAAGAACAGGCAAAAGAGCTGGGCACTCGGGAGGCAGAGGCAGGCAGATCTCTGCGAGTTTGAGGCCAGCCTGGTCTACAAGAACTAGTGCCAGGACAGGCTCCAAAGCTATAGCGAAACCTTGTCTTGAAACCCCCTTCCCCCCCAAAAAAAGAACAGGCAAAAGAGCCAGCCGGGCATGATGATGCTGCCTTTAATCCAGCTCTCGGGAGGCAGAGGCAGTCGGACCTCTGCGAGTTCCAGGACAGTCAGAGTTACGCAGAAAAACCTTGTCCTGGAGGAGCCAGGGGAAGCAAACAAATGAAAAAGAACATGCAAAAATGTAAGACTTTCTGTCCTTTTCATCATACGCTTGTTTCCCTACAAAACATACACTAAGAACCTTGTCAAGGTGAAGTTACTTGCCTCTGATGTATGAACTACATCACGGTCCACCAACTCTGAATCAATGGCCATGAGGATGCGCAAATACAGATCCACGCCCCTTGGGTTTAGGTCCACGACTGAGAGAATGTCAAAAAAAAACTTGGGCCATTTAGTGAGATACTCTGTAACAAAAAGCAAGGCGAAGACTTGGGCTGCTTTGTTTCGTATAAATGTCTTCTCTGGTTGGGGATTCAGCATCTGGCAAAGAGAAATATCCATGAAATTAAATCCAAACTATTCAAAAGCACACTTTTTTTTTAAATTTATCATTAGCTGGCAAAAACCCAATTAACCTTCAACATTGCACAGATTAGAGGCAACATAGCAAACTGCAAAATTACCCATGCATGCAAGTGACCAGTCACATGATGAGCACGTGAATAATGGCTGCCTCTATGAATTTGTATTTCCCTCAGTGTTGGGGATAAAACTATATACCACTTAAGGATTCTACCCAGGCCTTTCTTAACGGCCAACACCACCAGGGATGGGGGAGCATGGGTTGTTGGCCTGATCTGAGTCAGGGTCTTTTGTAGTCCAGGTTGGCCTCAGTCAAAGGGATCCACTCAACTTCCTGCCTGTGTGGATCAAAGGTTTGAAGCAGCAGGCCCAGCCCATGCCTTATTTTATGTGACAAGGTCTACTATGCAGCTCAAGTTGGCCTTTAACTTGTTCAACTCCAGGCTGGCTTCAAACAACAATCCTCCTGCCTCTGCTTCCTGAGTATTGGGATATAGGAATGAACCAAGGGATCTCGTTATAGAACAATTCATTTCTTTTTTTCTTTTTGCCTTTTGTTTTTCAAGACAGGGTTTCTCTATGTAGCCCTAGCTGTCCTGGAACTAACTCTGTGGACCAGGCTGGACTCAAACTCAGAGATCCCCCTGCCCCTGCCTCTGCCTCTGCGGGGATTAAAGACGTGCACCACCACCGCCACCCAGATCATAAAATTTCTAAGAAAAAAATTCAGTTGTTTTTCTTTGGCTGGATCTTAAAGGAAAATACTCTAGAGACATTAGAATGAAATGAATTGATTACCTGAGCCTGAAGCCATGACAGGAGCGTCTCCCTGATCAGCTGCTGCTGAGCTGTGCTGAGTTCTGAGTACCTGGTAAAGGGATAAACAGTGACTACATTGCCGTCTGTGGCTTTGAACGCAAATTCATCTATCAAAAGGGAATTTTACAGCATTCCGGTACCTGGTTTCCTAAAATGCATGACAAAGTCCATTAGCACAGTTGTGAAGAATGCGCAGACGAGCCTGCCAGACAGGCCAGTCAGCGAGCTCAGATCTGCGGCTCAGTTCACGCTCAAACAGATGACAGTTATGTGATTTCTTAAACCAACCATGCACTGAAGTCTGTGGTCTATAGACTAACCCTGTAGACCAGCTAGCTCAGTCTAAATAAAAACACATTCACAGCCCAGATATAATGATTACACTGGTCGTTTATTATCTATATTTTGGTTTCTTCAAGGACAGGAAAATTAGACACGCCTATTCCAACAAATCTTCGAGATTAAAAACAATGGAAAGACTCACTTGTATTTAACTTGATGTTCTAATACTTGGAAGCAGAAAAACTTTATGTGATCATCACTGAAAAAGAAAAAAAATAGATAATCAGGGAAAACAATGGCAAAATGCTAGTAACAACTGTGAAGTTTCTAAAGCAAGGCTTCTTGCCTGGCTTTCTATTTATCAATTCTATTTTACTTATTGCTTTTTGTTTTATTGCACTAGGCACCTAACTCAGGTCCTCAGGAATTCCAGGCAAAGGCTTTCCAATCAGCCACAGGCCCAAGTCCTGGATTTAAAGGGTTAAGAGAGCTCTAAATACAATTCCCAACACATGGCAGTCCGTTCCATTTTCTAAACAACACGACCACATGCTCTAATATACACCCTACCCTAACACAGTGCTCCGTAGAGGCCCCTGCCCCGAATGCTAATATGTAGAGTCAAGGTCCCTGGAACAACCTCTGTGCTTTATTTGATAATGGTCAGGAAGACTCAAGCTGACAGACAGCAGCCAAAGGCTGACCAACCAAAGACGCCATGCACGGCTTACTTGAAACTTAAGCATTATTAGTCCGATTCTCTTACAGGCAAATACAAAATAAACAGGGTAGGGGGACTCAGGTCACCCTCAAAGTTCACACAAGAAACTAAAGGATCAACAAACCCACCATTGAAGACTGGGAGGGGGACCTCCCAATAGCTGTCCACTACCCAATTCTAACTCCCTCTAGAGGTAACATAGCCTACAACTCTAAGAGAATTCCTTAGGAGTCCAGACAGACGGTGAGTGAGGCAAGTGTGTGTGAGGACACTGTCTCCTATGTAAAGAGCAGCTCAAGTAGGAATGCAGACCCCCTAAGGTGTTCAGGAAAAACAGTCCCAGTAAACGCAACTAGGCTGCAGCCAAACAGGATTAGGGCAGCACACCAGCAGCTCCAGCCAGAGGGCCATCACTAAAGCCCGTGCTGCTGCTCCCATCGGTGGGCTGCCTGTGCTGTGAGCTCACTGCTTCCTACAAGCTTCACTATGCCCATTTTCCTTCCTTAATAAGAAGCTAACTTAACTAATGATGAAATGGGTATACACGTTTCTATTTCCATAAACTGCGCCTGCTGCTTTAGAGAGACTACCTCAAAGTCACACTGCAGGGCAAGCCTTTTCAGCATGGTATGTGGCCTCAGTCACCAGCAATGCAGAGCTGGAGGGAAGTACTGTCAGACCCACTTTCACCCTTCCTGACCCTTCCTGAATTCTCCTCAGAGGTCTGCTGGAAGCACAGGGTGGACTATGGGTGTCATCAATAAGACCTCGGTTCAGACAAGGAATAGTAACTGAATACTGATATACTCTAAGTGAAAGCTTTAGAATAAGATATATATCACTAATGCTCACCTCCTTCACCAAATTCCAACAATAAGACAAGGACATGTTCAGTGTAACCTAGTCCAGTGCACAATGCACAGAAAGAAAAGGATAGTTTGGGCTGGAGGGATGGTTCTGCTCTTCCAGAGGACCTGGGTTCAATTCCCAGCACCCATATAGCAGCTCACAAATGTCTCTAACTCCAGGATCCAACACCCTCACACACATATACAAGCAAAACACCAATAAAATAAAAATAAATAAAATTTTAAAAAAGCATAGTTTTACTGAAAAAAAATCAATTCTGAATTGGCTCAAAAATTGGTTTCCTATTTTTCTCTTTTCATGCTACTAATAGTTTTTCTAAAAGGCAAATCAAAAAATGTTTTTGTGAAAATACTTCTCAAAGAAAAAACTAAAATGCTTCACTTTCTGGAAACATCAAAGCTTCCAGACAACACGGAGACTCTGTCTTTACCTGTGCGTCTTCTGTGCCAGGGCCTCTGCGCACACCTGCCAAGCATCCGGGGAAATCTTTAACTGCTCAAAATAAGCCAGGGCCTGAAAGATTGCAAAACAAAGCAACACAGTTCATTCTGAATTCAGATGCCCTACACACACTAAACAAAGGGTGGGGTAAACCAATAACCAACAACGATTTGGGGTTTAATACGTCAGCAAAAACATCTAATCCAGGCTTCTGACTATGTGCAAAGTCCAGATGGTTCCCCAAAATAGATCAGTGACCAGTTAACAGACACTTAAAACAGTTTCCTTACAGTAAAGGAAATGGTGCAAGAACGTCCTGTAGACATCACCGGGCTATGGAGAAGGCAGAGGAAAAGCCCAAGTGTTCTATCAAATGCAATACTGTTAAGGTATGTACAGTCATAAAAGAGTCTCTGAAGGGTGCACACAGCACACATGGCCTAAGTAAATGCTAAACAAAATAAAACACAGAACTTTCTGGCCAACAACTAATCTAGGATGGGCAGAAAGGTAGAGGGTGAGAGGGGAGGGAGGTGCCAATCTCTTTTAAAACCTCCACCTTGTAGTCTGGTGAACACGCTATGGTGCTAGGGAGGAGACATGAAGGAACGGAAGCCCTTGGCCCTTCTAGGCATCTCTTCCATAGTCAATTATCAAATCTGTGGAAGTCTTGGTAGTCCTTGATTCAGCAGGCAGTCGTCAGTATAGATGGTCTGGAGTCACAACAAGCAGTCTTGGGTGACCCTAAAATACTTGGCAATGTCAGAGTTTCTACAAAACCTCTGACTACCACTGTGAACATTTCAGGAGCTAGGACACTGGGCAAAGGGCATCATTACACATGCTGCATTTACTGCACTCACAAGTAAGGGGTGGGGCTCCTCAGCTAAAATCCTCATTAACACATTGTTTTCTTTAACAACAGCAAGGGCCAGGCGTGTAGCTCAGGTGGTAGAGTTCTTAGCTAGCTAGGAGACGGGGCTAAATCCTAGGTACAACAGAAATCAGGTGGTCTGAACAGCGCAGGACCAAGTCCAGGGTCATTCTCAGCCACCTACACAAGTCTGAGGCTAGGTGGCGGGCGGGGGGGCGGGGGGATAAGTGTGACCCTGTCTCAAAATAAATTCAACAAATGGTTTTAAGCTATTGGGTGTCTAAGCCTGGGAAGAGGGAGGAATAACTAGAACTCCTTCCGTTTTTGTCTCTGGTAAGATGGCTTAGCAGGAAAAAGGCACCTGAGTTCAATTCCTGGAACTCAGGAAAAGATGGAAAGAACAGACTCCCCTGCCCCACAACACACACACCTGCAGTTATTTTTTAAAATGTTGACTATTGGAACTTAAAAATTAACAGAATCCAGGAGGTGGCACACTCCTTTAATCCCAGCACCTGGGAAGCAGAGGCAGGTGTATCTATGAGTTTAAGGTCAGTCTGGTCTACAAACTGTCTCCAAAAACAAAAACAAACAAAATTAACAGAATTAAAAAAGAATACGTTAAAAAATAAGGATAGGAACTTGACATGCTGACATATGTCTACAATCCCAGGACTCAAAAATCAATGTAGGTTTGCCAAAAGTTGGTGACTATCCTGGGCTATAGTGTCAGTCTTTGCCTCACACAAACAACCACCAACAGAAAGTGTCAGATACGGTGGTGCATACCTAGAATTCCAGAACTTGGGAGGCTGAAGGAAGAAATCAGAAATGCAATGCCATCCTCAATTACACGGCTAATCCAGTGCTAGATTGGCCTACATTCTGTCTCCAGTCTCAAACAAAACAAAAATAACAGAGCTAGCAGCATAGCTCAACGCATGAATTTTGATTTCTAGAGCCCACATGGTAGAGGAAGCGGAAGGAGACTTCTGCAAGTTGTCCCCTGAACATGTACATGTACACCATGGCAGGCTCACAGAGCTCTCAGCCCACCAAACAAACACAGGAAAAACCTAACCCCCCCCACTCTGCCCATCCCCAGTGCAACAAACAAATGAAAGCAGAGAAAAGGGACTGGGGAGATTGCTCAGCAGGTAAAAAGAGCTTCCTGTCTGTGACTGGAGACAGATCCTGGAACCCACAGAGAAGTGGGAAGATGGAGATTTTCCACAAAGTTGTCCCCACATTGACACATATGCCAGGGGCACAGTAACAGAACCGCTCAGAAGAGAGGCCAGTGGTGGTGGACTGCTGCAGCGACTCCAGCGGACACGAAGCAGGAGACTGCTGACAGTTTTCAGTGAGTGCCGGGCCAGTCCAGGCGACACAGCAAAATGCTGCCAGAAACAAACTTAATAGTGTTTGCAGACAGCTCCGCTAAAACCTCTGGGTCTTAGTGAAAGTTGTTCTCATAAAACAAAAAACTAGAGTAAAACTCAGTAGCAGAGTCCTTGCTTAGGCTCAATTCCCAGGTAACAGCCTGGACAGAAAGCCACCAAAGGCTACAACTGCACGGAGAGCTGCTGGGACAAAGGGGTAGACTTCACAACATGCGTGGCACATGTGACAAGCGGCAGCTCCCAACACCACTAAGGGGAATGGAGAGGTGATACAGAGGCGGGAAAGACACAGGCGTGTTTGTTTTCAACTAATTAAAAATTTCTTTTAGTTTTCTTTTGTGGGCACTGCAGGGGTGAAAAGGGCGGATACGAAGGGATTGGGAATCAATGATGTGAATTTCTTCCCCCACCACGGTGTCCTCGTCCTTTGGTTTTTTTATATACATTTTTAATTGATATTTTTTGAGCTCTACATTTTTCTCTGCTCCCCTCCCTGCCTCTCACCTTGATGTGAAATTCTTAACCAATCAATAAAAAAATCATGATAAGGATGCTAAAGTGTAGCTTTCCACAGCTTCTGGAGTGGGTACTGGTGGGTAAGGACTAGTTTTCTCTCAGGGCTGGCTACGGGGAGTTTTGACCAGGTTCCAGTGAGTATTTGGACAACACAAATTGGACTCCCCCCCCCTTCTTTTTTTTTTTTTGCAGGGAGGTGGTTTTGGGAGGCAGACCTGGGAGGACTGGGAAGTGAGTGTGTGCTGGGGGTACATGATGTGAAATTTCCAAATAATCAATGAAAATATTATTAAAACGAACAAACCACAAACAAACCCCCCGTCATCCAACACATATAAAACAGCCAAAAGCTTTTATTATAATCAGCTTGCAACATCAAAGTAGGCTAAAGGTCAGACGGCAATGTTTCAGCTACTCTGAAAGCAGATGGTTTAAATCCCTATGAAAATAAAGCCATTATTATATAAAAAGCCTGGACTCCTAGGTTTCTGAGATACTCACATCTAGATTCCCATTATTTGCCATACTTGGAGGGTTAGTTACTTATTCATCAGCAGAGACATATATCATCAGAAACTGCTTAGGAGGTTTTTGTTCTTTTTTTTTAGCCACTTTAAAAGAAGTTTCTACTACTAAAAAGCAAAACAAATACAGCTGTAATCTTGGTGAGGTTGTTAACTTTTAGCTCACTTATAGCAAGCTCTCTTCTTTGCTACACCGAGTAGGAAGAAAAACCCCTCCTTTCTCTGATCCTAAACTTCAGAACACTCGCGTCTTTAAACACTAATTAAAGGCTTGTTCTTTAGTGTCTTCTTTCATCATTCAGTTGAAGTCCTTATTAGATTCATCAGCTACATTAGGGTTAATTGTTTACATTTACCAAGTATACTAGCATCTCCTTCCTAATGGACTTCCTGTCACGAAATCGGTTCATATCACTTAAGGTGTGGCATATCAAAACTGCTTATTTCCAGTCTGCAAAGACTACACAGCAAGGAGGCAGCTGTCTCCAACACAGGAAAGCAACTTACAATCCAGGCCAGCAATGGGAAAGCAGAGTATGCACTGGGAGACTGCAAGAGTTCTCCGCCCTTGTAACTAACTGCCTTACGGCTCTACAACAAAAGAAAGGCCGGGTGTTGCACAAGGACCTGGCCTTCACACGGCAGGTTTCAGCATGTTGGTTCAGCCAATTCTACAGAAATCAATCACAACACCTGATGCTTCAATATCAGAACACACTCACCTCAAATCTGTCAACATCTATTAAGGTTCACTCAAGTCAGATGTGTTTTCTGTAGCATGCTCTTAAGAACAACTAAATTGACGGACTTACCCTCTGTCTAAAGTCTGAATCAGCATTTGGGTTTAGCCCTAAAAGAGCCTGTTCATCCATGTCTGCCGTTATTCCTGGAGTTTTCCAATCACAATAGATGTGGCTTCTAATCCCACAGAGGAATCCACAATCATCTGCACACAGAAAACAAAAGATGATTACCTGAAATGTAAGAAGTGGCTGAAGAGACACAGCTCTGAGGAGTCAAGGGAGGCCACATCTCACCAGACCAGAGCAGACCCACACTAGGGGCTAATTTTGGAGAGTATAAACAAGTACGCTATTAGGGTTCTCAGGTGCTACTACTCTCCTACAAAGCTCGCCAGCCAAAAATGGAAAATGAATCTTTCTAGAATGGAAAATGCATCTTCTAGAAGGATGCATGCAGCGTTGGGCTGTCTGCCCCACAACATGTGCCTGGGGAAATGAGACGTTCCCTACTCTCAGATATGATCAGGAGACATCTCTGAAAACAACTAGGATGGCAGGCCTCAGAGAGTTTAAAGCCCTTACTGGAGCGTCTACAAGTAGGGCTAGAGAAGTTACGAGAAAGGGCTAAAGAGCGAAAAACCAGTTATTTAGCATCGAACCATGACTTAATTCTGCCTTTTATAGGTCTCTGCTCTTGCCAGCCAATTCTAGAAATACTTCATAAATGAGCTCCCTCACTTTAGAATGCACCCCTCTCCCCTAAATCCCTGGAAAGTAATCTACTTCACAATACAAAATCTAGTATTCTCAAACTAGAACCTGGGAAGCCCTCAAAGACAGTTCTCTGATACACAAGATGCTTTTCTCTATGCACATGGCAAACTTAAAGCGATGTGAACACTGCTCTCGGGGATGGGGCGTTTGCTAGAAAATGTGCTCCCTGACCTGGATAAAGTGACTCCCCAGAACCTAGGTAAAAACTAGGTGTGGCGGAGTCGGAGAAGTGGGGAAAAACACCAGGCAGATCCTCAAAGCTGTCTGGCCAGCTCCTCAAGTCAAACTACTGAACTCCAGATTCGGTAAGACCCTGCCTCAATAAAAGGTGTGATGGGAGTGTTTGCAAGGCTGGGAGACAGAGGAAAGAGAATGCAGTATGGACATTTATGAAACTGTCAAGAAAATAAGTATATTGTGAAAATTAAAGGAGGAAGCCACCTGCTATTGATATTGGCTTCCAACTGCACACATATAAGCACATACAGACACATCAAACACACAATTTACATTTTCTGGAACACCGGGAAGGTAGGGAAATTGGGCCTTACATTACTATTACGAAGCTGGAAAGGTTCCTTTATTCGTCTATTTTTTAGTTATTAGAGCTAACTAGGACGTAAAAGAACAAGAGATGAACGGGGGTCCTGTGCAGCCCTTTAGGAACATCGGAGCCAGGACACAGGATCCCTATACGTTCCTGTTTTCCGTGGTCCCTTTGGAATCAAAATCAGAACAGAAGATCCTGAGAGCCTTGGGAAGAAAGGCCAGCCTCTTCTCTCACCACTCATAGCCAGGCAGACCACAGCAAGGCGACCTGAGCCCAACTGTCCACGGGATTAGATCCAAACACTTCTGAACAGCCAAGCCTACCATGCTGCAGAATACGCAGCAGCCTGCAACACCATATTGCCCGGCTCTCAAGTGGCCTTGTACTCATCTTCGCACACACTTGCTCTTTCCAGCCACGTGGTTAAACCCTGCAAGGCCTTCACATGGCAACTTAGAGATGGCCTCATGCGCTGACCCTACCAAGCTGGATTAGATCCCCCTTCCAAACTCTGCTATGTTCTGACTGCCAGCTAGTTTTCTCTCATTAACCGTCAAAAACAAGGGCTGTGAAATATGCATCACTGTGCTCCTGGAATTTAAAAATGCAGGGTTTGGGTTTTTAAATCCTGAATTTGAAGCAGGAAAATGGCTCGATGATTCCCTAGATCCACATGGTGGAAGAGAACTGACTCCTCTGTGTGTATACACACATACACACCTGTATACATACAAGGTAAATACATAAATGTAATTTTGAAGCCCTACATTTATATTCCAATCTTGTCATTAAAAAACAAAACCTAGCTAGGGTGCTGGTGGCTCATGCCTTTAATCCCAACACTGAAAAGACAGGCAGATCTTGGGTAAATTCAAGACCAAACTGGTCTACAGAGCGAGTCCCAAGGCAACCAACCTGAGAAACTATCTCAAAAAAAAAAAAAAAAAAAACCAACAAAAAAAACCCCCAAAGCTAAGCCAAGCCAAACCAAACCAAACCGGACAACAAGGAGAAAAAAAAGTCAAGGTAGCACATACCTTCTAATCTCATTGCTTGAGGGGTGTGTGTGTGTGTGTGTGGTGGGGGGTTGAGGCACAGGATCTCTGAGACTTCAAAGCTAGCCTGGTGTATCTACATACAGATTATCTGGCTAGCTAGAGTTACAGTGAGATTTTTGTCTCAAAAACAAAACAAAAATTGAGGCCACGCAGAAAACAGAAGTATTCATTCCTTTCTATCAGAGGAAAAGAGGCAAAGTCCTAAAGACCACGGTGTAGGCAAGGCATGCCTCTAAGTCTTAGAAATTCAGAGGGGCACACAGGATCAATTAGTGGAGGCATTCTTAAACTAGAATAGTTATTCTGAAGAGATGGGAGAGCAAAATAGTTCCACCAGGAAAAGTAAAGTATTATTCCTCGTCTAAATGCTCAGAGAGAAAAGTTAGTTTAAGAATTGCTATAAACCCCTGATCGAGAAACCTTCTAAAAGTTCCTCTCAAATATCCGCTGCTTTGGGAAAAAGTGCCGTTTCAGTCTAATCCTGACAAGAGGAAAAAAAAAAAAAAAAGAGGCCCCACGGAAACACATGATCAACAGGAAAACCCTAAGCAAACTTGCTACAGTTGTCCACAGAGAGGGAATCCCTCACAAACCCTCGCCACCTAACACGTTCAGAAAAAGCACTAGGGTGATCAAAATAAAATGTTCACCAATCTGTGAACAAAGATTGGAAAGCTACAGCTAGTGCTAAGGGTAACAGCTTCCTAATAAAGCCTGGGAGAGGACGCTTAGTATTCTGACCCACAGAGCCTTACAGGCTTAAACACTGTTACAATATGGTAACATTTTATACAACCTGCAAAGGTGGGGGGTGGCGGCGAGAAATACACTTAAACTATGAAGCTGTAATTTTTCCTTAGCTATCAAGAATCAAACAATGTGGAGAATTCCTCCAAACCCACTTAAGCCTGTTTGAGACTGACTTAATCTTTCCAGCCTTTTTACATCAAGTTGACAAGTCGCTTTAATACAACGTAACTTCCCCCAGTAACAACTAATTAAGGCTTTCAAAAAGTACTCGTTTTTCAGGTTACAGGAACACATCACGCTTCTCCACTGCTGCAGGACTGTAAAGAAGCAAAGAGAGGGGGGAAAAGGCTGTCCGTGCTGGCATATTACTACGCAGAAATAACACTTTTTTTCCTCTTATTTGTCCCGGGGCGGGGAACGTATCAACTTGAGGTCTCCACGGCTGAAACACACTCCAAAAGTATCACGAATGGGGTCGGGGGGCAGCCTCCGAGGCCGGCCTCGCCCCTATCCTTCGCCCCGATCCCTCCCTGGGCGAAGCCTCGTGGCCACTTGGGTGATGAAACACCCGGCAACCGGCAGCCACGCACTCGGGTTGTGGCCGCCACCTCTGGCCCCCAACCCCAAGCCCGGCCCGCCCGGCCACGCAGGGTCCCCGGCCCTCCGCCCCCAGCCTCCAGTCACCATCACTCCGATAGCTCTTCCTCGCCGGCACTCCCGAGGGCCGGCCAGCTGCAAGGAGCGGCGGCGCACGCAGGGAGGAGGGCGAGCGGGCCCTCGTCCTTGTCGCTGTAGTCCTCCGCTACGAGCCGCAGCGCTAGCGCCGGAGCTGGCCCGGGCCGCTCTCCTCTCGGCGC